TCAGAGCAGGCTTTCCAAAACTTGTGTCTCTATCTGTTTTTGGACTACAATTCCCATTATCCTTGACCACTAGGGATGATGGGAGGTGTAGTCCAAAAACAGATGGAGGCCCAAGGTTCTGTATTACAGGTTCTGAAACTAATCTTCACAAGCAATATCATCATCCATAAAACTTTAGCAAGAAAGGCCCAGCTGTATATCCTTAAACAGAGGAAAGAAAGAAATTCTCAGTGCTGTTCTAAATTATTATTCAAAACTACGTTATTACCACAAAATTATATTAAAAATCAACAAAGGTAATAAGTGGAAATGTTCACTCCACTTCAGTAGTTACACAGCCTCCACCTGGGTGACTGCATAAAATTTATTGGGAAGAAAGTTAAGGGGTTTTGCTCTACTAATACCACTAAAATTCTTTTTAAATTTAAAAGTTGCTTATTACCATAGGAACCCCCAAACATCTGGAGAGACCTCTATTGGCTACCTAAGCAAAGGTATCTGCCAAAATCCTTACTCTATTCTCAGAGGCAGAAATTAACAAAGCAGACGTGTCCAAGTTAAGTCATTGTATTACTCAACCTTTTGCTGTCCACAATCTTGTTCCAATTTCAGTCTAATAAAAATGACTCCTTAATGTTTGCAAAGCATATAAAGCTCCCTATAAATGACAAGTAATTAACATTTACAAACAAGCACTGAAAGGGTTGCACAGCACAAACATACAGGTACTAGGATGATTATATGTCAGGTAAAGCACAAAGTAAGGAACTGCATGTTTTCATGTTTGTGTATACTAGGGTTTCCCACACTTGGGTCTTCCATCATCCCTAGCTGGCAGGACCAATGGTCAGGGATGATGGGAATTGTAGCCCCAAAACAGTGGGGGACCCAAGTTTGGGAAACTCTAGTGTTGACCAACAATGGGGAACCAGTGGCCCCCTAGAACTCCCATGGATTCCAACTCCCATCAAATCCCAGTCAGTGCGGACAATGGTGAGACATGGTGGGAGTTTTAATCCCCCTTGGGGTCCATTCCCACTCTAAGATTCTATGTTTCTATATGCCTGTACAGTGGTACCTTGGGTTACAGACGCTTCAGGTCACAGACTCCACTAACCCTGAAGTAGTACCTTGGGTTAAGAACTTTGCTTCAAGCTGAGAACAGAAATTGTGCGGCGGCAGCAGGAGGCCCCATTAGCTAAAGTGGTACCTCAGATTAAGAATAGTTTCAGGTTAAGAACGGACCTCCAGAACGAATTAAGTTCTTAACCCAAGATACCAATGTAATAGTAATACATAGAAACAGTATAACATCTGGAGGGTCAAATGTTCCCCATCCCTAGTTGGGAAGAGATGTCATTAGAGCGCCAATGTGTGGTTCCAGAGGGAGGCTGAGCTCCTATTTCTAAATTTCAGGGGAGAGTTCCTACTTTTATTTAACCAAAATGGCAGTCCCCATGCACAACAGAGGCACCTGCACAACTGATGTACTCCCAAGGTTTACAGAAGTAATTTTTAAAAAATCCTTTGGGGGGGGGAACTTAAGGGAGGTGAAACCCCAGCAGTCTATAGAATATTGAGTAGTTGGAGATGGAATGACTGACAAGTGGAGGAGGGACAGAACAGAGTAAGTTGAACTGAAGGATATAGTCTTTGCCACAGCAATTTCCTTGTGGTTGCGAATTTCAGTTTAGCTTCCTTAAGCAGGGTGCATAATTGGAGCACTATTGGTCCATAGGCTCTATAGATGGAAATCACTTTTTATTTCCCAGCATCCCCCATACCTCTCAATGAATTTTTCTCATCTCTAGTTATTTCTTCTCCCCTTCCACATTCACACTTAACTTGTACACTATTCCTCTCCCCAAATTTCTGTTTCTTTCTTCCCTCCACCCTGATCCATTATAACATTAACTCTTCCTATAACAGCTATTCTCTTTTATCCCCTTCCATTCTATTCTCAGGTTTTAATGTTGTTATCAAAAAATAACCCTGTATCTCTAATTTCCTTCAATACGTCCTCTGGCCCTTAAGCTTCAGGGCTCAAGAGAAAGGCAGACTGGTTTGTGTGGTGTTTGGGTATGAAGTGATGATGGGGACAGAAGCTGTAGCAGTACCAGACATAAAAAGGTATCCTAGATTCAAATAACCACCACCCAGACATGAAATGTACTGAATGATTTTGGGCCAGTTGCTATCTCTCAGCCTAATCTACCTCACCGGGTTGTTGTGAGGATCTAATGTCAGAGGCGTAAGTGCACCATAGCTCCTTGGAGGAACTATGAAATGAAAAATGAAACAAAAATAACCTAATGAATTGGATAAAAAGTTCCAACTGAAACTCATATAAAAGAAGTCTTCTGTGATGTACATCATTTATAGACTGGCCCTTAGTATAACAGCCTGTCCCAAGGTGTATTTTTTATATTATTATTATTATTATTATTATTATTATTATTATTTGCAAAAGCCAGCTGTGCTTACCGTTAGTTCATTTTCCAGGTCCCATTTTCCAGGTTCTTAGAAAAAGAAATTGGTAAACTTTTTTTGTGTGAAACAACAGTGTGTTCAATTCTGCTGCTAAAAACAAATTGCTAGGCTGAGAATGTGCTCAGGGGCAGACATTTCCTTAATCCCAACTTTGTGTCAATTGCACTTGGCTCTGGTTTGTAGATCTTGGGGTTCTATTTAAAAAAATAAAAGGAAATCTGACAAGCCTGAACTCTGGCTCCCCCTATTTTAAAACACCCGACTCTCTGCTGGATAGCAGCTAACTTATTCTTCTGTGAATTCCTTTTCCTGCTTTACTTAAATGTACTTTGGTAAACAACTAACATGTTCTTGCATACATACCCTTCCCTAGTCTGCAACTGCAGCACTTTGAAAATTGTTTGTTTAAGTAGATGTTCTGAAGTAAGCAAGTATTTCTGTTCTCCTCAGTTTGCATTTCCCCTTGGAACAAGCCAAACAAATATCTTAGAGGAAAATATGCTATAGTTGTACAAACAAGAGAGAGAGAGAGAGAGAGAGAGAGAGAGAGAGAGAGATGCATAATGTTAACATTTGCCAGTTATGAAACCAAATTATTTAAATAGGTTTCTTGAAATCTTGAGGAAAAATATCCTTTTCAACAAATGAAAAGTTACAAGTTGGCAGCTACAGCTGCATTGGAGCAGTATGTCATCAGACATGGCTCCTCCGAGATAACTCAAACACATGTGTTGCTTGAGGTCACTGTAAAGAAGCTGCTATTTTTAAAAACCATCCAACAGTGCTACTACTTGAAGGTCTGCTTCACTAAATACACCCCTTGGCTAACAAAGGACTCCAGTAAAATATTTATGAACCTTCCACATTTGGGTTGCAAACCACAAAGACCCACTCATGAGGTCATCCACAGAGCCTGTGCCAGGGTCTCCGACTGCAATGGTCTTTATACTGCATTATCTAAAAACTCCAGTCTGTTAAGATTCTTAAGAGCTAATAGCCCAGGTTTTCTGTCATCTACTCTTTAAAAAATGTATATCTAAGAACATGTGCTTTAGACTCCAAGTTTAAACTTTTCAACATTCACACAAACAACATCCTTTATAAACATGGCTCTTGAATGTGATACATGGGTATGTGGGAATTCATGTGTATGTGCACTTCACAAGGGATCCTTGAATATTTTTGCTAGTGAGACAGAAATCTTTTATCTGGGTCCACTATGCACCGCCCTGAGCATGTGCCTAGCAGGTTTCATCCAGGGGAACAACACAAAGAATAAGCAACATTCATTTTGGGGATGGAAGTATGAAACTAGAAGAGAGTCCATGCAAAAACTTCTAGACCCTATCTGCATTGCACATTTAAATACTGCCCCCTAAGAATCCTGGGATCTGCAGCTTGATAACAGTGCTGGGAGTTGTTAGGTCAGGCATAGGAAAACTCGGCCCTCCAGATGTTTTGGGACTACAACTCCCATGATCCTTATCTAACAGGACCAGTAGTCAGGGATGATGACTACTCCCTGTAGTTAGGTGACCCCTACTCCCTCAACAGGGTTCCCTGGAGTGACTTGGGAAGAGGAATTGATTGTTCAACCACACTGGAAACCATAGCTTTGTAAGGGGAATATGGGGTCTCCTAACAACTCTTAGCAGCCTTAACAAACTACAGTTCCTAGGATTCTTTAGAGGAAGCCATGACTGTTGTGGTATCATGGTGCTTTAAATGTCAGGTGTGGATTGGGTCATAGTTCTGTTGATGTTTGCTATTCCTACTTGGGAGACACTCTTCTAGTGTTACCTTCCTACATGTCTGATATTGTTGAAAAGTGGACATTTTGTGTAGATTCCTAACCACCACCATCCCTGAAAGGCTCTCATTACCCTACACAATATTTTATGTTAAATGCATTTCTTGCTGACTATGCATTGTACTGTGAATTCTGGCAAAAATATTGTTTCAAGCTTGCTAAATAACACACCCTCTTAATTTCCCTCTCCCCCGATTATTGTGTAACTGAAAATAAATCTGTGGCAGCCATATTGTTTCAATCCATTGGAAAGTTATGACATTAACAGTTTTCTTTGCTCACTTAGTAATTGATTCCAGAGAGACAGAAAGAGGACAAATACATTACTGAATATTTTCTAGGTTGCTGTATAGTCCATATGGCTAGCACTGCAGTATATGCAACATCCATTAAAGTCAATAAGCACACATGCACACAAAAATAAAAGGTTACAGAGCCAGGAACAAGTTTAGTGTTATATGACTTTTCCTCTTTAATAGAAAACATTATTTTTCAGAGTATGAAGTGATGGGCAAACTGAAGCAAATGCTAGAAGTGCTTTTATAAACATCAACCCTCCAGCTGCTGAACTGCATCCCATCTATCTGAAAGCATGTGATAAACCACAGCTGGAGTTTAATCTCACAAAAGTGGTTTTGTCTACAGTATCTCAGCTTTTCTGCTTCCTGTTCTGGCCAGGACGAGAAAGTGTGAAAGAACAAAATACAAAGTGTGTAAGTGTGTGTGTGTGTGTGTGTGTGTGTGTATATATACACACACACACACACACACATATATATTCTTCTTGCTTCAAGATGCATACATTAGGCTAGTTTTCAGGCTTGAAAACAGCCTGGTTTATTAGAGCAACTGCCAGTGGATTGCAGGAGCCCCCGAGCAGTAAAAAGAAAAGAAAGAGTAGAGAGGGAGAAGTCTGATCACACCAATGGGCACTGAACATTTTAAAGAATTACAGCAGAAGCCAACAGGAAAATGAGGCAGAAACGAATTCCTTGGACATTCCCACTATTCCTGTTGTGTGCTAAAAGCTAATACACATAATGATTTATTTTCCTATAACAGTTCAGTTGTTCAATCTCAAACTTTTTCTTGTGTGACAGAAAGTTATATGAATGTCCAAAGATAGAACAAGTTCCTGGCTAAGAAAATGTGGAAGAGCAGTGGTAGGAACTAAGAATGAGTTCACACGTGCATCAATCATTACTCGGTGACTTTAAGATTATGTGATGACCTGCATAGATGAAGCAACCATTACATATAAAGATCCACAGACAAATATAATCCCAATTCACTTCCAGGGCCCTCCAACTAACCTGTAGGTGTGAATCAGTTCAAAGACATTCAAAATCAGGGCTGTGATTGTACATACAGTTACATAGTAGAATAACCCACTGAACTCAGTGGGGTTTATAATTCAATAAACATTTTTAAGAGTAGGCTTATGAAACACAATTCATTAATGGGTAGGGCTGCCATATGCTTGGATTTTCCCAGACATTACCAGGATTTCAAAGCTGGAATTAATGTCCGGAGGGAATTTCTGTCCGGGATCTTATTGAAAAATCACGTGTTTGTGTTTTTGGCATTTCTGTAAAAAAAGCTCAACCACTAGTTTTTACTTTTAGAAATATGGCAACCCTATTAGTGGCTCAACCCCCACCCAAGGAAACTAGGTGCCTCTGTTTGTATGTCTGGGCAAATGCATGAGTCGCACACAGGGATGTAACGAAAAAAATCACATATGTTTCATCTCATACAAATAAAAGAAAGGCAACATGAAAAGCTACCTGTTTTATCAAACACAAGCATGTTATTTCACAAGTTTCAGTAAAGAAGTTTTGCTGAAAATACCAGGAGCACAAATGAAAATCTATGCCGCAAGTCCTACTCACAGATCCTCTTGAATGCAGTTGCTATAATTGGACTATGTACTTACTTGTCTTATGAGCTGATTTCCAACTTGGAATCATTCTTATTTTTCAGGATACAACTGGCCTCACACAGCAGCTAGCTTGTCAGCTGTCGTATATTTAATGTATCTTTAAGTGGCCTGCAATGGAGCAGTCCACTTTCTCAACTGATGCTGGATTGATGCCCTGCTAGGCATAGCTTTCATTTACTCTGTCTTTCTTTGGGAGCTGCTTTGCCTTGCTGCGAAAGTGTTGCATTTCTATGTGTTGTTCCTAATAAAGAGGAAGCTGTTGAAAAATCTTGCTTCTGCTGAAGGAGACCTGAAGCTGAACCTTGAGTGCAGGGGTAACCAAAGTGGTACCTACAGGCATCAGTATACCCACTATAGTGCCCACAAAAGGTCACAATAAATATCCCCTCAAAAATTGACAAGGCATGAAAGGCCACTTGCTCTTACTGCATAGGTCCTGTTTACATACCTCAGCCTCCTCTACACGCTACCATGGCAACCACTGTGTGTTATGCCACACTCCCATGGCCGCCATTTACTTACTGGCACTCATGACACTTTCTCAAAATTCAAAATATGCCTACTGGCCCAAAATGTTTGGTGACCTCTGCTTTAGAGGCATGGACGCCTAAGTACTCCCACCCATGACATCCATAGGGGAAGCGGAAATATTATTAGTCAATGATTCAAGAGTGGTTTGTAGCTCAGTTACAGAGCAGCTGCTTGGAATACAAAACACTCCAGGTTCAAGCCTTTGCATTTCCACTTAAAAGAAGACTGGAAGCCACTGGAAGCCTCTGCCAGTCTTAGTAAACAAAAACTGGACTAGATTGACAGACTCTTCTAGTATATGGCAGATTTCTACATGCTCTCTATGGCTTTATGGATTAGATCCCCCCCCCCCCCCAGAATCTCAATCAAGATCCTAAAGTAAAGGGGAACTGAACAGTAAAATTTCAGCCTAGTAATGCTCAAGTAATTATGCAGTAATACTGTAGCAGTAGCATCTTCTCCTTTCACCAGTTAACTTGTTAATAAACAGCAAGTTATCTGTAATAATAGTTTCTTTTTCAAACAAGTATAGGTCTTCTTAGAACAAAGTTATAATAAGAAAAGGTGGAAGGAGCTGAATAAGTTTAGTCTGCAGAAGAAACAAGTTAGAAGTGATAGGATATCCATCTTCAAATATTTGAAGGGCTGTCTCAAAGATGACGGAGTAAATTTGTTGCTGTTCCAGAAGGTAGGACCTGAACCAATTAGTTCAAATTACAAGGAAAGAAGGGGTTAGTAGACTAACTATTAAGAAGAACTGCCTGACAATATGAGCCATTCAACAGCTGAACAGAAAAGCGCTAGAGGCTTTAAGAAGAGGCTGATAGTCACCTATCAAGGATGTTGTAAAAGATTTCCTACATCGGCAGGAAGTAAGAATGGATGATATTTGAAATCACTTCCAATGTTCACAACTTTCTTTCTCAGATTCTGCCAGGACCATTATCAATTAGGGCAAATAAGTGCCAAGGAAACTAGAGTTTGCAACTTCTGTATCAGATAGTTTAGGCACAGACTCAAGAATTACAGGCAAGATTGTTGCTTCCTCAAATGCCTGCACCAGCCTTACATTTCAAAAAAGTAACTAAACATGCAAATAAGTCCCACCTCAGCTATTTGAATTCTCTGTGGCACCAATTTGCAGGCAGTGTCTATTTCCCACCACAAGGTGGCTGCCATTTTGAGGCATTTCCTAAGGGTTTACACTAGAGCTGTAGTTAAATCTCAGATCATTTATGCTGATGTAGTTTCACTGTTTTCAATGGCACTAAATCAAATAGAGATTAGTGGTCTCAGCTGTTTTTTGATTATAAAGACCAACTGTAGCATAATGCCTTTTTTGTGCTGTAATCTCAAACAAACCTAAACAACCCAGCTCAAAATGTACATCTTATTACATTCAAAGTGTGACAAAGGAGCTCTTCTTTCTCCAATGTCTTTTATTTAAATCACCCTAAAGGAAGAAAACAGCTTTTTAAAGCACAATATCGGCAGCACGCCAAATTAGAACTGTTTGGTTTCAGTCAGTAGCAAATCTTCCAAGTTGCATTCAGATTCTGTTTACTGACTAGATTCGTAGATACAGAAGAAGTTTAGCTGAATTAATAGAATTATTTCACAGTAAGCAAAGCTGTGGGCACTGGTGTGCATAACAATATAAAGAAAAGAAAGCAAAGGGGTGTATCCAACAGTGGATTAAATGAAGGTCTGTATGTGGGAAAACTCTGACTGGCTGGCCTCTTGAAAACTGTATGGTGAAATAAAGGGGAGACTTGGACATTTTGGCTGATTTTGTCCATATTTTTTTCTGACTGTATTTTGCATTTGTAATAGTTTCTAAATCAGGCAGTTTTATCCAATGGGCAATACACAACAACAGATACAACAGAAATAAATAAATAAATTTCCATGGAATAGTGATAGCACCCAGTAGCCAGAAGACTCAGTTTTCCATCTGTGATATAGGTGTGTGGCCTATCCCACAGTGGTAAGTACATATTTAATGTACATTTCCCACACTGAGTTGTAGAATAAATATCTACAGCTAAATATCTTGGCTGTAATCTTGCACCATATATATATATATATATATATATATATATATATATATATATATATATATATATATATATATATATCTGCATACTGCTCTGATATTTTGTAATATGAACAGTTTATAAATATTTTTAAAGGAAAACAAATAAAAAAGAATGTAGCCAAAATGGACAACTCCATCCTGTCTCCTGTGTCCATGTAAAAATTCTTAGTTATCATGAGTATTAACGGTGCTTAATCATGCATCATGGAGCCTAATTGCATCTTGTACCAGTTGTGTAAGCATGAAAGGGAACATCTCTTTCCTGACACTGGAAAGACAGTTTTTTCTGTGGCTTATTTTCTCTCTGCCTTTATATTTCTCTGTGGCAAGATATTTCATTTCACACTTTCTGTTTCATTTCCCCCCACTTCATGTCCATTAGATTTTTATTCCTGGCTCTTTTTATCAAAGCTTCTCCTTAGAGGAACAAAACTCTAATAACTCAAGCTTGAGTTGACATTTCACACACAAGATGTTCAACTGGGTTCAAAATTAGATAAAATGAATTCACCCATCCCTGCCCAATAGCAATCTTTTTCAATGCTCCATAAGTCATTTCCCTCAGTCCCACTGGAATTGCACTGTATTCTTTAGCTTAGGTGTAAAGCACGAGGCAATTCCTAGAATCACAGAATTGTCCTATTGGAAGGGACCCTGAGGGAAACTTATTTATTTATTCATATTTAAAACAGTTCACCCCAACATTCTTATTGGCTACTTAATCTTTTGTGCTTTGTGCTGTCCGAAGCTTTGTATAGAGCTCAGTAGCTTATGCTCATTTCTTAGAAAAACGGGGAGCTGCCTTATACCAAATCAGACCATTCGCCCATTTACCTCAGTATCATCTACTCTGAGTGTCAGCAGCAATCCAGGATTTCAGTCAGGGAAGTTTCTCAGCCCTATCAAGAGATGCCAGGAATTGAACCTGTAACCTTAGGCGAGGAAACAATGTGCTCTACCACCGAGCTATAGTTCTCATACTCATCCCCCCCCCCAGTTGTACGGTTTGGTACCTTGGTTTAAGAACAGCTTAGTTTATGAACAACTTGGATTAAGAACGCTGCAAACCCGGAAGTAGGTGTTTTGGTTTGTGAACTTTTCCTTGGAAGCAGAACATGTTCTGCTTCCTGTTGAGTGTGTTCCATTTGTAAATTGAGTCCCCCGCTGCTATGGGAAAGCACACCTTGGTTTAAGAACGCTTTGGTTTAAGAACGGACTT